TGTGACTCTGGGCTGGGGCTGGGGCTGGCGGCCAAGCGTGTGGTGGAACCGGGATCTCTTCCGCGGTTTAGCCAGGTGAGTTAAAAGCTGATTGAATCCCCCACCGTGGGGTATCCTCTCACCTGGGAAACAGAATCGCCTGTGTTTTATTGCCGTGAGTTCTGGTTGCTGGTGACTGTGCCGATCCTGCTGTGCTGCTGCTCAGAATGAGAGTCCTCCCGGCGCTGCCATCTTGCCCCGCCTCCGATTCTTTGGATTTTCTTGGTGTCTATTGTTATGTCCTCATTTCCATTTTAGTCCCCATTTCCATTTAGTTTCCATTGCCTTTTAGTTTATATAAGGGTTTGTCTGTCTTTTGATTTTCTCAAAGAACCAGTTCTTGGTTTAATTGATTCTTTGTGTGGTTCTCTTTGTTTCTACTTTAGTGATTTCAGCCCTGAGTTTGATTATTTCCTGCCATCTACTCCTCTTGGGTGTGTTTGCTTCTTTTGTTCTAGATCTGTCAGGTATACTGTTACATTGCAAGTATGAGGGCTCTCTAATTTTGTTATGAAGACACTTAGTGATATGCATTTTTCTCTCAGCACCAATTTCAGCATGTTCTATAGGTCTGGGTATGTTGTATATTCATTTGCATTGTATTGTAGGAAGTCTTTAATTTCTTTATTTCTTTCTTGACCTAGTTGTCACTCAGTAAAGAGTTTTTCAGTTTCCATGAGTTTGTAGGCTTTCTGTTATTTCTGTTTTTATTGAAGTCTGGTTTTAATTTATGGTGTTTTGATAAGAAATGGGATTACTGTAATTTTCTTGTATCTGTTGAGACTGGTTTTGTGATTGAGTATATGGTCAATTTTGGAGAAGGTTCTGTGGAATGCTGAGAAGAGTGTGTATTTTGTATTTGGGTGAAACATTCTATAGAGGTGTTAGGTCCATTTAAGTCATAACATCTATTACTTCCATTATTTCTCTGTTTAGTTTCTGTCTGGTTGAATTGTCCATTGGTGAATGTGGGATTTTGAAGTCTCCCACTATTAATGTGTGGGGGCTCAATATGTGATTTAAGCTTTAGAAATGTTTCTTTTACAATTGTGGGTGCCTTTGTCTTGGGGCATAGATGTTCAGAAGTAAGATGTCACTTTGATGGATTTCTTTTTCATTGATGAGTACAAAGTGTCCTTCTCCATCTTTTTTGATTAATTTTTTGTGGAAATATATTTTGTTAGATATTACAAAGGCTACATCAGCTTGCTTTTTGAGTCCATTTGCTTGGAAATTTTTTTCCAGCACTTTACTCTGAGGTAATGTTTATCTTTGATATTGAGGTGTGTTTCTTATGTGCAAGAAAATGATATATCCTGCTTCCACATCTTTCTATTTGGGAATTATGTCCACTAATGTTGAGAGATGTTAATGACCAATGATTGTTAATTCCTGTTATTTTAAGGTTGTTGTTTGTGTATGTGTGTGTTTCCTTTCTTTTGATTTTGCTGGTGTGAAATTATATTTTCTGTGTTTTCTTCAATGTAGTTTACCTTCTTGGATTGGAATTTTCTTTCTAGTATCTTCTGTAAGGGCTAGATTTATAGATAGATACATATTAAATTTGGTTTTGTCATGGATAATATCTTGTTTTCTCAGTCTACAGTGATTGAAAGTTTTTCTGGGTGTAGTAGTCTGGTTGGGATGGCAGCTGCGGTTTGTTAGTGTCTTCAAAACACCTGTCCAGGTCCTTCTGGCTTTTGGAGTTTCTCTTGAAAAGTTAGGTATAATTCTAATAGGTCTGCCTTTATGTTACTTGGCCTTTTTTTTTTTAACCTTGTAGCTTTTAATATTGTTCTTTGTTCTGTACATTTAGTGTTTGATTATTATGTGGCAGGAGAAATTTCTTTTATACTCTTACATTGGCCTTTTATATTCTTATATTGGCCTCTAGTCATCTGGGTTTGGGGTTATCATAGGTTTAGGTTCTGATTTCTGAATTTATCTTTGTTAGATGGATGTTTTTTTTTCCCCCTTGGTTTCTGTTTCCTTTCTGGTATTCTGGCCTGAGTGGCTTTGGATTCTGGTGAGTACCTGAATCTTCAGTTCATCAGGGTTTCTCTGCTGGGGTTTTGTTGACAGTGTGGCTTCTGGGGTTTGGGGTGTCAATGCTGCCTCTGTGCTCCCAAGTACCTGTGATGTCACTGGGGTTCCTAGTACAGAGCGGCCTTTGGTAAAGCAGAAGTCTTCTGCTGGAGTTGTGGGATGAGATATGGAGTCCCTGGGGGCTTTTTTGGGGGCTGTTGGGCAGGCTTTAAGGAGTGTTAGGTGTTAGGGGACAGTGGGTATTGTCTTTCCTGGGATTCTTAAGGCCAGTGCAGCAGACAAGGTGCGTGTTGAGAAAGCAGCTGCTATCTAAATATTACCATTTTTAAGTAAAAACCTTCTGCTCTGCACTGAAGCAATAAGGAAGATGCCCAAGGACAAGACCCTACCCACCAAAGGCCAGGTCTTCTGAAATTACAAATTCATCAAAAAGGAGGAATCTAAATTGACATTGCCACTGAAGTAGTTCCTTGCTTGAAAACAACCACCTCGCAAAGTATTTCCCTGGGATCAGTACACAAAGACAGTTGAAGCTATGATCTAAAGAAGCAAGGCTTCATAGCAAGCTAGCAACAGCACTTGGCAGCATCATTTGTATAGCACTGTTTTGTAGGCACAAAGGATGCAAGATTGGGGGGGGGTCACAGGGCATAGCGCCATGGTTCTAGAAAAACATTGAGTCCAGACAAAATGTGGCTGGATCAGAGTACACAACGCTGAGGAGATGAAGTCTAAGTTTCAGTGAAGACCCTAGGATGCTGGTGATGCCCAAACCAAGGGGCATGTGCTGAGAAAAGCTGCAAGCACAGATTAGACTCCAAAGAAGAGAGGCTGTGTGTGTTGAAGATGGCAGAGCTAGTGGGTCAGGGCTACCCAACGGGGAAGATTCCAGGGCTCTTAAGACCCCAGATGCTAGAAATGTTCGCCCTTCTGGGCTTCAGCTTTGCTTTAGTCTTATCTTTCCTCGCTGTGCTCCCATTCCTCCTCTTTGCCACAGCAAATCTCTACTCTGGGCTGCTACATGTTAAAAATGTCTTATTTGCTTTTAACGGTTATTGGAGCCCACTGGCTTAGTCTCTGAAAAGATTACTCACCTGTGCTTTTGAGCAGTGTTGGAACTGTTAAAAAGACTATCGGGCTTTTGAAGTTAGAATGCATTTTGTGCTCAGAGACATCCATGAACTGTCAAGGAAAGGGGGGACGTTACAGATTAAAAGTAATATGTTTTGCTGTCAAGTTGACAAGGGGTAGACTTGTAACAGTTAACTTTATCCACTTGACAGGATCTAAGCTTGCTTAGGAAACACATTTCTGGACAGACACATGCACGCGCGCGTGCACATACACACACACGGGCACAAGAGAGTTTCTGTGTTGGGTTACCTAAGGAGGAAAGACCCACCTAAATATGGGCAACACTATTTCATGGGTTGCCATCTCAGGTGAAGACAGGGGCGCTAGCAAGCTAAGCAGGGCATCCCTATCTCCTTGTTCTCCGACTGTGATCTAACTGCCTCATGATCCTGCCTCTGTGCTTGCCCAATGAAAACAAACTTTTTTCTTTTTTTAAAGTTGCTTCTGTCAGATATTTTATCACAGCAAAAAGTGACCAGCTCAGTGCCAAGTACACATATGAGCACGACATTCAGGAAGGCCGCGTACATGGGCACAATGATCACTGCAGTTAAAAACTTAGGATCTGTCAATAGGTGCCCCTGACATACACATTATTCAAAGCACATGAACCAACAAAATCCAGAGCATATCCCAGCCTCAAATCCACTTGAGTCCAGGATTCAGCTTTCAGAAAGAACAGGTGGCCACTGGGTAGTCACCCACCTCCCTCCATACCTGACACACTTTTTATTCCCCCCGGGATGTGAAGCTCAGCAGAGAGGTATATGATTGCAAAGGTTATTGTTTCTGGGATGTGGGTGCAATGTGAATCCTACTCGATGGAAGGCCACAAAGCCCCAACTTCCCTCATCTGCTTACTTTCCATTCAGGAACTGAGGCGGGCGGCGGGGGGTGGGGACTGAGAGCAGGAATTTGAGAGTCAAAGTGGAAGACTCTGAGACCGTCTTCGGTCTTAGAGTCCTAGAATCTTCTCTTTTGGATAGCCCTGCCCCACTATCTGCATGCGGGGAGAGGGCACTGTGATATCGTGACAGCAGTGGCTGGGCCTCCATCTGCCCTTTCCAGGCAGCATCTGTTGGAGGAGCCCTTCTCGGCCCAGGGTGGTTGGGTTCTGTAGACTAGTAAGAAGGCTAGGCTTCAAAACAGCCTTGCATTCCCACAACCACAGCTAAGGCCCATTTCCCAGAGAAAATGCCTCTATGTGTATGCTCAGAAATGTGGGAGAATTTGGAAATGGAGAAACGTCATGATAAAAGAGTGCATGTGGTACACAGGTATGAAAAAGGATCTGCATTTGTTAAGGCAAATCTGATGTTCAAAAACTCGAAAAGGACAAAGATAATATGGCTCAGGCATGGATTATGGCTTGCAAGGACTTCTGACAACAGTGGTATTAAGTGAGAAGTGGGGCTGGAAAACCAAGGCAAGTGGGGAGCCCAGACAGAATGCAGATAAGCACTCAGGCTTTTCCAAACAAGAAATCCTCCCCTATTTCAACACCACACAGACCCTGCCTTGCTATGAACAGCCAGCCACATTACTGAGCTTCTAAGTGTCTTTTCATGCAGTCCTGTCCATTCCAGCAGATGGCGCTGTCTAGCCACTCTCTGCCCATTGCTGGCCCCGAAGAAAGTGACCTCTCAGGCTCTTCTAGTATGGTCAGCACTATTGGTGACAAGGCAGCTTGTAAAGGAAGCAGATGGAAGGCTGGGAAGGTAGGAAGTGGGAAGGAGCACTGGAACTCTTTGTTCACTGAGGGATGTCTCCTTTGTCTTCAGGTCTGATCGCATGGCGCGCGGCTGGCCCTACGTTTCCCAGTTTGTGGAGGATATGGTGCAGAGATTATCAAAGTACGACTTGATACCGCAGGCTCTTTTGTGATGCAGGGGCCATGTCGTGCCATGCAGAGGACATATTTCTTGGATTTGGTAGGCGCAAGAGTTCCTCATAGAGCGAGCACAGCCCCAGGCTGGTGCGATGAGCCGGATAGAGGACACAGTACGCTTATTCCATGGGGTGTCTGCAGCCTTGTTGCTCCTGCCTAGGATCTAGCTGTACTATACGGGCAGAATCCATCTTCCAGGACCCCTGAGGCTTGGAAGGCCAGGGAGGGTAGGGAGATTGGTAACTTAGTAAGTAGCACCTGGTTACAGAGTACTTGGGGTCAAAAGAAAAGAACAGGCAACAAGCCTCGGAAGGATACGGGAAAAGGCAATGACTCCCTAGAGGAAGGCAGGGTAGTATCCAAGGGAATGTGGAAATGAGATAACTCCAATAATGGAGATGCTAAGGACAGGGCAACCATTAGGGTGGTCTTTGAGGCTGTTGAGTGAAGGTAATTCAGGGGAGGCCTGGTCAGCTTGGAAACAAGGACAGAGGGATTTACTAAGCCAGGCCAAGGGCCTTAGATTTTCCAGTGTGAGCTATGAGGTGGCTATAGAATTTTTGTGGAGATTAGAGAACAAGATCAGAACAGAGATCCAACTGAGTCAGGAACTAGGGATGAGTCACTAGGGAACTAAGTCAGGGCTACTGGATGGGTTTGTGAGGGTCCTGTGGTAGAGAGCAGTGAATGGGGAAAAGGGGAGTCCAGAGGAATATCAGTTCCTTGGAGCTGGGTTGAGATGGCAGTAGTCGTCAAGAGTTGAGGAAGAGTGAGGTTCTTATGAAGGAGTCTTCTTCCTTGTTCAGCATGGGTGGGCGTGTATGCGAGTGTGTATACATGTATGGGTGTAAGCACATATGAGTGTGTGTGTGTTCTAGCACAGGGATTGAGTAAGGGGTCGAGTTGGCTTGCCTCTCTTTCCCAGGGGCCACATTTTCATAGAGTAAGGAATTTATTCGAAGTCCCTATGCCTACTAGATAAGGCCTCAAAGTGGAAGTGATGAGATTAGGGAAGAGAGAATTTTGTTTGAATACCTTTCTTGACATCTGGATGAAATCACATTTCGGCAGTGGCATCTCATAAACACCTGCTTCCTCCCAGCCAGGATCTGCGGGTGTCATTCATCTCCTTCTCCTGTAAAGGCAACATCATCCTGCCTATCACTGGGAACAGGTAAGTGTTCATTTGAAAGCTAATACAAGCCTGATATTCTGGGCCCTTCATGGAACTGAGGCTTGCAACTTCCATGAGGGTGTCTTCCCACACGTGTCCACAGTGGCTGGTCACTGCATGCCTGTATACTGATATCCGCTGCTAACTGTAGCTAACAACCCCTTGAATTCCTGCTCGCCCAAAACCTTGTGCTTCCAGAAGATTTCCACCTTCTTGTGTCTGTCTTCTATCACTCTTGAATATTCTCTGGGACCCGGCTGTGACAACACATGAGATTGAGGAGGTGATGGAGCAGATAGGTGGATCTCCTACACAATCCTAGCTTGTGTAGAGCCTGTTGGACTAGATGATCCTCTGCCTGGGTCAATGGACAGGGAGATAGCTGGGAACCAGGAGAAGGTTCTAGGTCCAGGAAAAAGCAGCTGAGTCCCACTCTGGAATGAAGGAATCCCAGGCTGGGAGCATGAATCTAAGGGTGGCCTTTATACTACAGGCAGATATGGGGAGCAGATACGGGTACCACAGAGGGCGGTGACCCACCTGTCCCCAGTGTATCCGAGAAAGGATATTGGGAACTTCTGACTATTTGGCCTGGAAATCCAAACAGAGCAAAAGTAACAGAGAGACAGGCATGGGCATTTAGGGTTTGGGGTGTGTGGAGGCCTAGGAAACCTCTGTCCAGGGCTTAGGAGAAAATCCAGGAGCAATGAGTGAAAGAGAACAGGTTCGTGGAGGTGACAGATTTGGTTTGCCTGGGAAAGGAACAGGGCTGTTGGCTCCAGGAGTCCAGGGAATATCTGATGTGGCCTGTGGCTTGGGTTCAAAGAGACCTGACTGGGTTTGGGGCAGCTGAGGGGACATCTATGAAAGGATTCTGGTAGGAAGCCCAGAGAGGCAGTAGAGGCTGGGCAGATGGGTGGGGGTTGGGCTGGGTTTGGCAGGCTGTGATTTGACCCCACTGGGCATAACAGGTGTTACCCTCATACTCTGTAGGCTGGGCTGGGCCCAGGCATAAAGCCTTCAGAGCTCAGCTCATGTCAAGCTCTCTTTGTGCCCAATAGGAATCCATGTTAGAGTCAATTGTGAGTCATCTTGCTGTGCCTGTGCAGTCTTGTCACATTGGATTATCCTCATATCCCACTTCCTGTCCCAGAACAGCCACCAGACCTAGGCCTGCCTCAGAATGTTCTGTTTTAACAGCCCCTGACAGGCCATGTTGCTTCTAGCTTAGAGAATAACACAAGTGGCTCATGGACAGCCCTCAGTGCTGAACTCTCAGGTTCAGGACTTCTCTGTAGGGAGCTTCTCTGTGGAGTTCACAGTTGGGTTCGCATGTAAGTAGACTGGCTTCCGCCTTTACCAGCGAGAGGGAAAGGAGTCAGGCCAGGGCTCTGTGACAGTGAGGATGGAAGCCAGGCAGTGCCTCAGCAGGCTGATAGGATTCCCTTAAGCCCTACCCAGTGAGTAACAGACTGCTCAGGAGAAAGGTGACCTTGACATCAGTGTTGCCATTGGGAGTCTTTGGCTCAGACACTGGCTGAGAACTTCCCCTGTTCTCCTACGCAGGGCCAAAGCTTCCTTTGTGCTCTTGTGATCAGAGACAGACTCAGAGCAGAAAGAGTAATCTGGCCTCTTGCCTGGTACCCTCTTCCACCATTACCAACACCTAGTGTCTCCATTGAAACTTAAACATCACCTTTTCAGCTTCATATTGTCACTCTCTGTGGCCTTCAAGAGTGGCCTTCATGTTACCTTTCTTTCTCTCTCTTTTTTTTTTTCAGAGAAGAAATCAAGAAGGGTCTTCAAAGACTGAAGAATACTATACCTGCAGGACATGAAGAACTTTTCCAAGGATTGTGGAAGGTGTGGAGAGCTAGACCCACCTATGGGCTGAGTGCCATGGGCTCATCTCACAGTGTCTCCCATTTTCCTTTGTTTCCTTGCAGGCAAATAAACAGATAAAAAAGGTCAACTCAGGAGGTGAGCTGCCTGTACTTTAGTTGGGTGGGTCCCCATAGAGCCAGGCTTCCCTGGAAATTCCATGTGCAGATCCCCAGGCCTCTCCTAATTCTTATCTAGCGCTAGAAAAGATCCGGTGGTCCCTTCTCTGAGCCCGCAGACCCCTATGAGCAGTGGTGTGTTTATGATTCTTCTGAGAAGAGTAGGAGGCCCCCTATGGCTATGTGTGGGTCTTGGTTATGCTGAGATCTTTGGCCTACAGATGGGCTTGTGAACAGAAAGGGGCAAAGCACAGTGACCCATACATGAAAACCAGGGCTCAATGGCTACCAGATCTTCCCTTTTCAAGTCTTTCTTCTTTTGACCTGTCTCCTGGGCCCATGTGTCAGGTAGTTCAAGGGGTCATGCAGAGCCAGGAACACATAGCTTGGAGTGTAGGCCTATAGCCTTTGTCCAGAACAGGTTCGAGCAGATGAGAAAAGATTCTGAGGGGATGTGGAGTTCCTTGCCTAATGCCTTCTGTGACATACAGTCCTGGTGGACTGGGCCCACTGTTACCAAGTGGACACCTCTCTAGAGCTGTGCCCAGAGTTAGCACCAGCCTCTACTTGCCCCACTGGGCATCCTCAGCAGGAGGGTTTTCCTGATGCTCCAGTTCTCAAGGGTAGGCTGAGCAGTGATCTACTGCTCCCCTGATCTACCTCCACAGGCTGCTCCCGCACCCCTCTGTCCACGGTAGAATAGGCAGTGAACAAAGTCCCTTTTTACTCTAGGGAATATCAAATAGTGGGTTCTGGGTCTGGACCCCTGACCCAAGTGGCTAAGGAGTTGAGAAAACTGGATATGCATTGGGTAGTGCTAGGCCTGTTAGCCTGTGGGAGTTCTAGAGATTCTTCAGGCCTTCCTTGAACCTCACGCATCAAGTCACTCTTGCTTTCCTGCAGGTGTCCACCGTCCCAGCATGATCATCTCCGTACTCTTCAGCCCTCTGGATGATATTACCTATAATTATTCGTTGGAAGAGGTGAGCCCAGCCATCCTCAGCTGCATCTCTTCTGTGCCGTACACTTTGCTGCTTTATAATTAACTTTTTCTCTCTCTTAGGTTGATACCATTCGGAAAATGGGAACGACCATTTACAGTGTGGGTCTGGGCCTGTCTGAGGAAGATCAGGTAAGAGTCCAGGTGACCACGTGCTCCTCTGAGCCCCAGCTGAAGAACACCCTCCCAGAGGTAGTCCTCTCATTCTCCCGGGGATGTGGGCAACAGGTGACCACTGCTGCGGTAAGGCAGACTGACTGAGATTCTTGCTCCAGGTAGGGTGATGAGGGAGCTTTCTGTTTCCAAAGCCTAGGCTGTGGGCAGAAGCCAGTGTCTGAGCCATGGTTGAATCAAATAGCTCCTGGCTGGAGGCTCAAGTCGCTTCTCTCTTTTAGATAAGAGGACTGGCAGGAAAACCAGAAAATGCATTTCCAAATAAGAAAGCTGAGGAAATGACGGACCTCATTACCCCGGTGAGTGCAGGGGGTACGGGCAGGGCCATGACACCTCGCAGGATTGCTGAAGCTAACTCTCCCTGACCTCATTTATTGCCCTCTATATTCCAGTTAGCTTCCAAGATCTGTCCGTCCCTTACATCTTCAGACACACGCTTTATATGTATGGGAGGTAAGAGCTGAGAGGACCCTTGTGTTGTAGACAGACAAATGTGGTGTGTACACATGTGCTGGTGGTGTGTGAGTGACATGCATACAATGAGCATGCACGCATGTCAGTTTCTGGGTGGTGTGTGAAGTTTTGTGTGCACGTGGTTTGTACGGGCGTGTGTTCTATGTGTATGTGTGTTATGTTATTATTATTTAGTGGGACTGTATGGGCATATGATACGGGGTGTGCATGTCTGGATGTTTTGTGTGGATATGGACAGGGTGTGTGCTGGAGTATAAGGAAGTGATATATGTGTGTATGCGGAGGATGAACATTCATGGGGTGGCTATGGTTTGCGTATACTACAACCTGCATCTGAAAGGTACATGCTGTGATGGCATAGAAGTGTGTGTACAATCACTGCTTATTTATCTCATCACAAAAGTGTAATTGCTAAGCTAGGAAAAGAGTGCAGAATTCTCAGGGAAACTAAGATGGACCCACACCACTTCCAGAAAAGTCAAGCATTTGACGCTCACAAAAGGAGGACAGCAGCATGGCAATCGTGTTGAGGAATGAAGAGAAAGAACTGGGAACAGAGACTAGCCACTCTGTTACTTGTTACACTAGGGAATCTCTGCGACTGCAAAACTTCTACAAAGACAGCCATGTTTACTTCACCTCAGCACTGAAATGGTAGATACCTAACCCCAAGGACTGGAGATGACACGGGTGAGACCTCCCAGGTCAGCATGCAGAAGTTGCACATTTGTATGGTCCTGGGAGAAAGTTGCCTCTTTGCCAGGATCATGGCACATTCAGGCTTGGTCTCCACATGCCAGATTTTGTATCCTGCAAAAGAAAGCAGGGCATGGAGGCCTGGGTTGCTCTGCTGCCTTCAGCCTAGGAGCTGGGAACTGACATCTGTGTTGTCCCATGGAGCCCTACTATAGGTTTGGGCAGACAGGGCTATGATCACATCCAAGCTCTGTGAGGCCTAGGACAAAGTGCTGCGTGTCTCAGGGGTTACAGTGAACCCTCCGATGGATAGAAACGGCATGCACAGGCTGTCAGGGAGATTAGAGACAAACGATAGAGCGGTGACACGTGCAGTGTCTGTCTACAAGATGGTAGGTGCCAGAGACAGAGTCTGATCATGGTATTTCTATTCTGCTTCTTGGCTCTGTGTGGACCTTTGTCCTTCCCCATCCTGTGTAAGAGAGAGGAGATTGCTGTGTGGAGGGGAAGAAGCCTTCCCTCCTTACAGGCTCTCTTCTGCTTCTGGGAAAAGGAGCCCAGGCAGGCAGCCTTCCTGACTGCTGCATGTTTTCTGATTGTCCCATGGACAAACAGGCCTTGTTGTCCGGGCATCTGTGACAAGCCCCAAATGAAAACATGAGTTCTTTCCAAGGAGAAATGTGCCTCCAGACATCAGTTCAACCATGGACTTGTTAAACTGTTGGTTTTCCTATGCAAACCTGCCCCATACAGGGGACCTGTTTGGAGGGAAGTCCAGGCGAGAGGCTGAACCCCAAATGAAGCAGAATGGACTCTCTTTTTTAAGGCCAGCTTGGAGTCAACCTGTGTTCCAGGGAGTCTGCAGAAGGAGGAGAGTCTTTGGTCAACTATGGGCATCTGAAGTGCACAGGGTACAGTGATGAGCTGGCTCTGGGCCCTGAAGCAGTTCAGGGGCAAGAGCTGGGAAAACCCTAGCTGGCTCCTGTGGGATACATCCTGTGCTTTGTCTCCTGTATGCTGGTACCAGTGTCAGAGAGCATCCCCACTTGCTATGATTGGGGGTTTGTCAGCAAGTGGGGACCAATACAGATTCCCCCTCGCCGGAGGTCATCTTAGGCAATGGATGGCCCTAAAACGTTAGGTCTGCAAGAATGGAGCACTCAGCTCTCCTCATAGTTTGAATGTTGTCCTCACAGAATCAACCCCAGTGGTACTTCGTGGAAAAGGCTTTGACTTTGCCATGAGGAAAGAAGATGTTATTTGCAGGTTCCATTTCATGGACATAAACAAGACTTTCACGGGTAAGGGGGGCCACTGTTCTCTCGGTCAAGTCTCCCCATCCTGACTGTCCGGCTGGAGACTGGGGTTATGGGCAGTGTGTTCAAGTGAAAAGAGGGACCTGGCTAAGATAACTGGAGTACCGGCTCCTTCACTGGCACTTTTACTAGGATTCTGAAACTTAATGTTTTGTTTTGTTTTATCATGTTTTTATTTTCTTTTTATTCTCTGTCCTACATTCATCTAATTCTTATGTATTTTATTATTGGGCAACCTTTTAATTTATTTTTAATTTTAGATAATTCCTTTAAGTCATTTCCTCTCAAATTCCTGGCCTCCTCTTCTTTAACTGCTATTGATCCATATGCATGGGTAAAACCAACCTGCTGAATCCCTTCAGTGGATGGACCTGTTTTCAGGGCAGGGTACTTGGCACTGGACAACCCCTTAGGGAGCTCCTGCATGAGGAATTCTCCTTCTCTCTCCCTCTCAGTATCCTTTAGTGGCCTATAGATTTTATAGGGGTGATGGGCAGTCTTTTTTCCCCCTGTTTTTTATATTTACCATAGTCTTAGTAATATTTTGACTTCATTGTTCATTTTAAACCTCGTGACTTACATTTTTCATGATTTAATTTTTTATTTTCCTCCTTACACTTATGTAATTTTTATGTAATTGTTTTCAAGTTTTCTCATTATAGTTTTTAATCCTTTTTACTAATACGATGCTATTTTCTTCTCCCTTGTCCATACTTTCTTCTCTACTCTTCTACTTCTTTTTCTTTTCATGTATTTAAAAATCATTTTCTCCCCTTTCCCTGTCTGATTTCTTTATCTTGATTATTATCTCCATATATCCACAATGAATTCTCAGTTGTACATAAAATTAAAATCATGCCATCTTGCAGGAGAATAAATAAAAGATCAGAATATTAAGCAAAATAAGCTAGCTACAGAAAGACAAATGTCACATATTTTCTCTTCTAAACAGAATCTCCCCACCCCGTGTGTGCGCATATACATCTGTGAGCGTCTCTGTGTGTGTAAATGCATGTGTGTGTGTGTGTGTGTGTGTGTGTGTGAGTGTGTGCACATCTTCACTTAGGTCATGAATGTAGAACAGTGATCTCAGTCCCTAATAGGTGAGCTCTGGGGTGCAGGGGTCTGCTTCTGCTGGGCACCAGAGTGCTGTTTGGTGCTGGGGTGCTGAGCAGAGTTGGGGCTCACCAGTAGTCCTTGGATTGAAGAAGGTGCTGGGAGATTGCTGCTTGTTTGTCAGACCATCAGCCCTTCAGGTAGAGGGCAACCGTGGTGGAAGGACACACCTACTGGTAATTTTGCCATTTTCTTTCAGATTTCAAAGCCTTCAATTTAACCAACACGACTGTTACGTGTCCTGGGCCGATTGTAGGTGAACCAGGAAAGTAAGTGGCCCTTATTGGAGGCCTTGAGGGAAGAGACCAGTGGTCAGTGTTTACCAGGGTAGTGTGGAGTGTAAGCTGTCCCCTCTTCTGTAGAGTATCTATCTGCCTGCATATGGGCTCTGGTACCCTCCCACATGGCTCAGTCCATGCTTAGTGGTGCCCAGTGCCCAGGCTTTACTGAGGGCAGGATGCAGGAGATGATGGGGCTAAGGGCCAGCACTTGTTCTCTAACTATCTCTCTGAGATAAGACAGCAAACTCTGATACAAGTCATCATGGTGACAGTATGCACACATCCCTAATGCCTTAACTCATTGGCACAAAGGCCAAATGCTATAGGGGCCTCTTGGGGTCTAATAAGCAGCCCTTCATATCATTGCAGAGGTTGACTCCTAGTTCCTTGGGAAATGAGTGCTCTTTACCCACAAATCTACTCTTCAGAGTTTAGAGAGCCTGAGTTTTAGTATAAGCATGAGAACTGGGGTTATTTCTTGAGCCAAGCCCAAGATCCTTGTCGCCAGGCTGTTTCTCAATGTCTGTCTCTGTGTTAGAATGATCCATGTTGAACTCAGCCTGGACAATGGAAAAAACTTCATGAATAAAAATTTATACGTTGCCAGCAAAACATGTGTGAGTACCTGGGTGGGGATGCGACCGTATCTGTACAGATCCTCTGGTTGGGGAGATCTAGCTGGTAGGTCAAAGAGCAGAGGAGTCCTAGGCAGGCCCCAAGGGCAGCTTAAACACACCAGCAAGTTCAGTGGCCCAGCCCAGTTTCCAGAAGGACCAGTGAAGCATGTACCAAGCTGTCTGCTAGGGCCTGTCCATGATGTCTAGGGCAAATGGTACTTCCACATATGTATCCCAGGTCCAGTAATATGCAAGCTTCACCATTGCAGCCAGAGTGTGTGTGACAAGAATTGGAGCCCCAGCCACTAATGTGTTCCCCCAAATGCTCTGGAGCCCCTATTTGGTGAGTCCAGTGCAGTGAGTGTGGCATGAGAGTCTTCCAGGAAAAGGAAGTTTCTCTCAGCTGATAAGAACCCCACAGAGTTAAGCGGCATCTCTAGGTTTATCCACACATAAGCTGGGAGGATGGACTCAGGTTTCTGCCCAGTAGGCACTCACCCCCTAACATTCCCAGACATAAGCACTGAGGCAGAGAAGGCCTAGCTTCAGCCCCTGGCAGCAGCAATCACTGACATCTTCCAAGGGGTCTCTGCTTACAGTGAAGCAGTTACTGGGTGCCAGGCACCTCCTCTACAGCCTCTTATGCTTAACAAACCTCTGACTCAGTAGGGTTGGGTTAGGGTGCAGCCCACTCTAAGAGGCAACTAGGGGAGCAGTTCTGATCCTGAAGTTCTGTGGCCTGAGCCTGACCCAGGATTGTAAACTCTGAGCTTGCGAAGTGTCTGTGCAAATGGGCACTGTTTAAGGTACAAAATGGGGCTCAGAGGGAGAAAATGTGAGCCCTGGGGCATAGAGTTGGGAGGTGGGAAGAGAGGGCTTAGTCTGGTCCTGCACATCTCAGGCTTGCAGCCTCTGTGAGAGATTTTGGTCACCGGGAGCCCAGGTCAGTGTTAGCTGAAGCCACAGGGAAGGCCACCATCCTCAGACTCTGGAGGATCCTGGGCCATTCTTACCTTGGCAAAAGCCTTAGAGCAGGGCCAGAGGTGGGATTCTCTGTTGTTCCATCAGTTCTGAGAAGCCCAGAAATGAGGGAGAGCAGAGAGATGAAAAGCCAAGCAGCAGACACCTAGGAGGCCCTTGCACAATTGCCCTTGGCCTCTGCAGGATGTATTTCTGGAGGTGGTGGCATCTAACCTTTCCTTCTCACAGGGTGCAACTTTCCCACCTACAGTTAAACCCACCACTAGGAGGCACACAACTCCGAGCACTTCTACAACTACCACAACTCCATCTATCAAGACTATACCTACCATAACAACTCTACCGACAACTGAAAGCCCCACCACAGAGGTACTGAAGCCAAGCATTGGTGGATACATTTTTTCTCCTATAATCCTGTTCCTGGTGCTGACTACAATGCTGGCTGGTTGTTTCTGGCAGCTGTGCTGTCATCCGGTGAGTGTCCCTGCCTGCTCAGCTTGGGTCCCAGGAACATGTCCTCCATTCAAGAGGCATGGGCACAAGGTAGCATCATGACCCTGGGGATGACGGAGCACAAAGACAGAACTTTCAGGTTCCATCTTGCCCTGGGGAAGCAGACAGTAGAAAACGCCGAGGCCAGCATGGAGGTCAGGGGAGACTTAAGACTGCAAACTTGTCTCAGAGGAAGGGAAGGGGTGTAGGCTCTGATACCTGAGATTAGAGCAAGGAATGCAGTGCTTCAGCTGCAGGGATGCAGAGAAGGATGGGAGGCTCCAGCAGGGCAGGTGGAGCCCTGCTACAGGCACAGCAGCACAGACATGGGCATCTGAATAGATTCCAGAATATGTGCATCCCTGCTCCAGATTAGGGTCCTCTGACTGCAGAGCTGAGGCAGAGCCCATTCTACACACAGCAGCTTCTTTTGTCTCTTTTACCCTCCAGCCTGTCGAGGAGGAGCTGCCTAAGCCAGAACCACAGGTAAGTGATGCCTGCAATGCTAGGACAATGACCCTCAAAAGACACATCAGAAGGCCCTGTGTGTATTCAGGAAGGAAGAAGGGCAGAGAATCTCAAAGGGTCCGGGAAGGGGCTCACAGTGATGTCACTCAAAGACTATACCCTACCAGACTTTTAGGACCTCCTGCCTTGGCCACACAGTTGGCACCCTGGGGAGCTGCTTCCTCATGAGCAGCTGTTTTCAGGGAACCTCAAAGCACTATGATGCTGAGGTTGCACCTGGGATTCTGAGAACAGGATTCCCTGTTAGGTGCTGGCTCCCATCCCCATGTTGGAGGTCTTCTGGCTCCTGTGGATCTGCCTTCATCCCTGGACCCTGGCAGGGTAGAAGGGGTGGCTGGGATCAGCCTAGGGACCTGAGGGATAAGGAGTGTAAAAGGGTCCAGGCTGGCCCTGACCTGTGATGGACATCCCCAGGGAAGCACAGGAACAAGGTGGGGAAGCATCTGTGGCTTACATCTGGTGAGGACCAGAAGTCAGAGAGAGGCTGGGGCAGGTGCAGCCTGGCTTTAGGCTGAAGTAGGAGCAGCCTCCCTGTCCTGGTGGTTGCATATTGGCCTGGATGAGGATGACTCTGCAAGATCAGAGACAGATGGAAGGGACAGTTGCCTGCTAGTACTGGCCCACTGTACAGCCACCAGGCCAGACTCTGCCAGCAAGGCTGGACTTGGGAGAGCCAAGGGCACTTATTCTTTATTAAGTTCCATATCTGAAAACTGAGGAGAGGGTTCTCTGCCTTTCTTCCTGTGGGAAGACCTCCCCACAGTGTGGGATACATCCTTCCATCCATCCCCAAACAATAGCTGCTTGGCCCCACAGTGCCAGGTGCTGTGCAGGGCACAGACAAGGACCAGACAAGTTTCTCTCCTTCCTATCAGCCCAGAGAGAAGAAACAGCCCCCTCTGCCAGTGTCTCTTCCGCCTGAGGACCCCTCTCCCATTGTGATCGTCTGCTGCTGTGAATGTTGTTGCTTGTATGTGAGCAGTGACACAGAGGTGAGAGCACCCCACAGGGACTGTGATCCAGGCTTGCCTGTGTGTGGGAGGGTTCAGCTCTAGGAAACAGGATCTGAACTGCTATGTGGCCATTTTCTTAGATCTGATAGTGTCTCTGATGCAGGTGGGTAAGTCAAGATATATTGAACGACAAAGAGGCTTCCAAATCTAGGGACAGTAAAAAAGAAAAAAGAAAAGAAAGAAGGAAAGAAAGAAAGACAGAAAGAAAGGAAAGAAAGAAAGGAAAGAAAGAAAAAGAAAAAAAGAGAAAGAGCAGCCAAAATGCCTTTGCCTACCACGGAAACTGGAGAATGTCCAATGCCCTGGACCAACTAACTCTAAGTTCTCTGGGCACATGGAAAAGAGTTGACTCAGTGGTTCTATGGCCAAGATGGGGCAAAGAGTTATAGGAAGGAAAGGGTTGACATGGAGACTCTAACAGGTGTCACAAGAACCCTGTAGAGTTGACCTCTGGTGAGCAGATAGTCCAGGTGTCCTTCCTTCTCCTGGGAGGTCCAGGCCTGAAGGAGGGAGAAGCTGGCCTGGCAGCAGCCTGGCTCTCGTCTCTGATTTCTACTTGGCTTTGTCTTCTTCTTCTTTGGTCCTGCCTCTGTGAAGAGCCCTGCTTCCTTCTGGAAGCTTTTGATTCCTTTGCAGCCTCTCAGGCTAACTGAGACCCAGTCCTGCCTATGGCATGAAGCACAGACAACACGGGTTCTCTAGAGAAAGAGAAGGGCACTGGCCATAGACCTAGCCTGGCATACAGGGGCTGAGGGCTCCACCCATCACACCAGGCCTTTGAATCTGAACTTTAGAGATGAGGTTGTGACGTTCCTAATCCCTAGAGCTAAGACTCTGCCCTCTATGCTTTCTGCCTTGGCCTGTGTCACCTACCACTGAGCAAGACACAGGCTGCTTACTTGCCTCTACTCGTGTGGCCCTAGGCATAAGCCTTCTTTGTTCCCAGGACCCCTCACTAGTCTGTGCCCACATCATGGCTCCCCTAAAGGTCTGTGCTTGCCATCACACATCTCCAAAGCCAGCTTTGGGGCTTCTCCCCCCATGGTAACACTACTTTGTCTCAGATTCTGAAACTGGCTCCCACAGTGACAATCGTAGGCATTCAAAGTTGTAAGATCCTTTCTTGGAAGCACACTTGGGCTCTTTCTCAGAATTCTCCGGGCAAAAGAGTCCTAAGAGACAAGAATTTTTGTGTTTCTGTTAGGATAGTTTGCCAGAGATATCATGGGATTTGCTTATGCCCCCCTCAGCACTGGGGTTAAAAACATACACCACCATTCCCAGCTTCTATGTGGATGTGGGGGGTATGAATAAGGTCATTCTTACAGGGTTACTTCAGGTCTGGGTCATTTTAATGGTGTTTCCTAGGCTCAGGCTAGGTCTCCATGACCTAGGTCTCCATGGTTGGTAGAGTGGGGTGTGAAGCCTTTCCTGAGCCTGGAGGAAGGTGGAATGCAAAGTCTCCTGTGCCTTCTCCAGTCCAAGGTCTGCAGTTTCTCTGGTTGCTCTTGAGCTAGGAATGTGACATGTGGCAAAGTTCAAGGTCTTAGGAAGCAAATAGAGGCTGTGTGTGTGTGTGTTTGTGCGTGTGTGTGTATGTGTGTGTGTGTAAGGGAGGGAAGGTAAAAGGGAGGGACAGAGGAGGAGAGACTCTCAGTCAGAGCCAGTGACACATTGCCTTACTTCAGCATTGCAGAAAGAGGCTTCTCAAATGTGATTTGGACTTTTTGACAAGAGCACTTATTTCAGCCTGGCAGTGGGTGACCTGATGGATACTGAATAGAGTGAAAGGCTTGGTCAGGGGGAATGGATGAATGGATGAGTTTGGATGTGCAAAATAAGCAGGGAAGGGCCGAAAGATCTAGCCAGACAGAGGAGGGTTGAGGGCCTGGATTGTAGTTGCTACTGTGGATGCCTACACTGGAAGCCTGGCGTTAGAGGATCTGGGGGGCCTGGAGGATGTTTCTGTGAGGAACTGATTCGAGAGTAGGTGGAGTCATAGAGAGTGGGAGCTGTACTTGAGTCAGCCTGAAGGGAGCCTGAAGCCTGAATGGGCAGTAGAACCTAAGGCAAGAAGGGGAATAGATGGTGGTCTCACTCAAAAGCCTCAGGATTATATTTGTTGGGCCACAGAGAAGCTGTTTTGTCCCAGATGGTGTCCAGATAGTAGGACAGAGACTAGAGAGGACATCAGGGTAGAGTCTGAAGGAGAGATGGGATAACCTTAGTAAGAGAGGATCCTAGGAATGACAGCAGCATCTAGGTCCTTGGTCACACACATGCTTGTGCTTGGTGACAGCGTCAATTAGGTGTCTTCTGCATACTCTATGGAGCTTCTGTGAAAATGAAGACAGACAGGCACATAGGGCATAATGGGGTCCAGGCAAAGTAGGAAGCTCAGATTTGAGTGGATGAAGGGCCAACTGGACCTAGAGGCTAAAGAATCCATTGACAGGGCCCAGGTGGAGCCTCCCATCATGGATTGTGGGCATGGCAGTCCCTTTACAGGTTGAGCAAAGCCACATGTAGTGCTATGAATAGGTATGACCCCCATAGACTCATGTGTTTGAATGCTTGGCCCATAGGGAGTGGCACTATTAGGAGGTGTGACCTTGTTGGAATAGGTGTGACCTTGTTGGAGGAAGTGTTGTCACTGAAGGTGGGCTTTGAGGTCTGCGCTCAAGCTTTGCCCAATGTGGACACAGTCTTCTGCTGCCTTTGAATCAAGACGCAGAACTGTCAACTCCTTCTCCAGCACATTTGCCTGCATGATGCCATGCTTCCTTCCTTGATGATAATAAACTAAACCTTGGAACTGTAAGCCATCCCCAATTAAACGTTTTCTTTTATAATAGTTACTGTGGTCATGGTGTCTCTTCATAGCACTAAAACCCTAAGATACCACATGACCTGAATATCATTGAGGATGGGTTTACCCCAACCTCAGAGGCTTCACATGGTCCAGCCAGGGCTCTCCTGCATACACAATAAGGATATTGCTAATTCATGTAATAAGCCTCAGACTACTGATGCAATTGGAACTCTCAGGCCTCAACTGATTGCACAAGAATATACCATCACTTCTGCCTTAGGGTTTTAATTGCTGTGAAGAGACACCATTACCATGGCAACTCTTATAATGGAAAACACTTAAAAGAAGCTGGTTCAGAGGTTTAGTCTGTTAACATCATGCTGGGAAGCATAGTCGTACACAGGCAGACATGGTGCTGGGGAGGTAGCTCAGAGTTCAACATCTGGATCAGCAGGCAGGAGGAAGAGAGAGTGACACTGGACTTGAGCGTTTGAGACTTCAAAGCTGATGCCCAGTGACACACTTCCTCCAACAAAACTACACCTACTCCAACAAGGCCACACCTCCTAATAGTGCACTCCCTCCGTATGGGCTTATGGGGGCCATTTTTATTCAAACCACCACAGCCTGCAACCTGTTATAAAATACATCAAGAATACCAACGAGAAGGGAGTCATGAGAGAGGCTTTATTTTGAAAGACAGTGGCTTGAGAAAGCTTAGTGCCCCAGGATGTTTTGGTCTAAATGGCTTCCTGTAACATCTCTAGCCAGGCAGGCACGGGGAAATCTAACAATTCTCTAAGCAACCAAACTTATTCTCACCCTCACAAAGTGTTTGCTCCAATAAACACAACAGTATCCAGGGGAGAAAGAGGGAAGAAGGGTCTGAAGGGGGCCTTTTCAAAAACACTACCAACAATTCCTGTCTGCACTCCACTTGCTGGAACTCACTCTCATGGCCACCTTGGGACACATTATTTCACACCTGAGCACCCTGCATCCCTTAGCAAAATCCACTTGCTGTTATGAGGAGGGTAAATGGATGAAGGGTTACTTAGCAGCATTTGATTTTACTGATCCCTTTCCATAGACAGCAGACCAGAGAGAGGTTTAGAAGCAGTCCCTCATCTGACTTGGAATGACATGGGGGGCTTTTGTAAAAGACCCAATAAAGACTCTCTAGATGGTTATCTGGGCACAAAAAGCTGAAAGAGGAACTACAGACAAATGTGAATTGAACTGAGCCTGTGTGGCTCAGGGCTTCCAAACTGGTGTGCCCTGGGGGAAATCCTAGGACTGTGTAGAATGGGGTGGGACAGAGAGTGAAGTAGAGACCCTCTGGGTTGAGAGGCAGGTGTATTGAGAACCACTTGTTTATTGCCCCCATCTGTCTTCTTTGTTTGACCCAAGACATTACTTGCATCTGCTATGTGAGAAAACAGTGTCCTTCCATTTGAATAGCTATGGCTCAACCTACCTGTTAATAATCCTGAACTCACCTCTACTTCCATAGAGCATGTGTAGTCCCCTGTGTTTGTCACAGACTTTGCACACTGAAGTATGGAATGACTGCGGTGAGCTAAAATCAAATTGTTTCCAGGAACCCGTACTTGCTCTCCAAGTTGTAGGAGTGTCCATTCATTCCCTGGCCCTTTCTGACCCCTAGTATCTGAGCCTTTTATTCTGCCGATCCCTTTCTCTACCTACAGAGCCAGCAAGGAAGAGCCTTCCAGGAGCCCCTGCCCATATCAACCCTGACATAGTTTCCTGCTGGAGTTTGCATATGCTCCTCTCCCATCTCTAGCATGTTGCCCCACCCCCAAATCCTTAGTCACATTTACAGAAATCCTTTTGCTGGGTAAGGCTCAGAGAGACATTTCCTCGAGGTCAGAACCTGCAGGTCTACCAGGTCCCCACGCCACTCAGACTTCTGTTATTTGCACCAGATCTGGAAGGAGCATGCGGGTGGGAGGGTAGGACCCAGTGGAGAAGGGTCATCCGAGCTTGCCCTGCGGTGTTCTCCATCATGCAACCAAGCAACTGCAATTTCAGGGCATATGCTTGCAGTGGTGTCTCATTGTTCTGTCTCTCCTCTCTCCTGCTGGCACAGTGCATCCCCTCAGACCTCCTGCAGGCCCTCTGTGCTCAGGAGCCCTGTAACTCCATTGTTTTCCTGGAACCAAGCCAAGAGTGCACCTGGGACCTGCCTCAAGCTTCCTGCTGTCAGTGCCACCATCTCCTAAACAGCTGCTCCAGGTTGCAGATGGTTCCCTCCTGGGATCCCACAGCCCTGCTGCCAGTCCCATCTACGCCGTGGACCTCTGAGGAGCTGCATAGCCAAAACTAAGAGGTCTTTGCTGCTGTATTGGTGTCAGGATTTTAATAAAGGAAATAATATTTTGGAACTTGTTGTTACTCATTAGCAAATCTGGCATGAGATGCTCTCCTTGAGATGTTTTTCTGCAGTACCTGCCAGAACAGAACTCTCTAGTGTCAGGTGACTAGAACAAGGCCCACGAGTATTTCTAATAACTCCATCTTTATCTGTCCCAAAGGCACAGGGTGTATGTTCATGTGAAAACATTTCTATAAAACCCTTTCTCCCAATTTTTGAGTTACAAAGGCTATTTTAGTCTCCTCCCTCCAATTTTATAAAGAAAAGCATTTAGATTTCTCATCTATTGAAACCTCTGACCCTGGCCTCTAGTTTCAGGCTATTCCTGTCTTGGATGTGTCCTAGACAGAGGCAAGGCCCCTCTAAGACCAAGACTTCTCTTTCCAGATCCTCTATGCCACCTCCAAGTGCAGCAGATTTCAGGGGGTGCTCTGGATGTCTCTGGAGGAGATAAATATCCACCATATATGCTCCATGAGAGCTGTGTCCATGTGACTACCCGGCTGCTAGGCGCGCAGGGGTGGACAGAAGAGGGAGGCAAGTTGCTATGCTGTGTATCCTGTACCTGCGTACTGAACCCCTTGGAGGGACTTAGAAATTCAACTCATTCCCAGAGTGCCTGTGAGAATCTGTGCTTGTTAGACATTCTTTTTAAATCAACTTGATACAAACTAGAATCATGTGGAATCATGTGGAAAGAGGGACCCTTGGCTGAGGAGTTGCCTCCATCAGACTGACCTGTGGCCATGTCTTGGCAGCGCACTTCCTGGCTGTAGAACACCTTGGCCTAGCAGCATGTCACATAAGGCATGCCCAGAGCAGCTGATGTACATAGCTCGAAGGTATCTCACATGTTTACTTCGGTCAACAGCCCACTCATCCATCCTAGGATGTGGCTTAACCCCACTGGACCTCACAGCAGGTTTCTGTGGAAGAAGGGAAGACACAGGTAACAGGGTGGCTATTGAGAGTATCCTTGGGCCTCACAGCCAGTCTCTGAAAGATCTGGCTCAGTGACACTGCCATTTCCAAAGGCTCAGCCTTCCCCAACTTACCCTGTGTTAGCCATCAATGAGTCAAGACTTGTTCAGACCTCTCAGATGTTTGTCCCTGGGCTAAGCAAAGGATGGAATTCTCTTGTAGAGGGCGGATTTCTGGCCTAGCTTGGGAGCTGAAGCCTAGGACCTTGTAACCCTAACCATCATTTCCAAGGAGAAAGGTAAGAGAAGGCAAAACAAGGGTATCAGAAGAAGCACAGACCAGAAAGCCTCTGTCTTGTCACCAATGGTTTCCTTGGGCACCTCAACAACCTTGAGTGCACCCTGCCCACGACACCAACAGCCCAGGATGTTGTGAGGATACTGACACAGGTGAAGAAAGTACTTGGAGGCCAACCAGGGCTTCCTTAACCTGTGCTGGCTGCACTACTGCCGTGGTTCAGTTTGCTCAGGAAGGAAGGACTCTAGCCCACTCTTTCAGATCCAGTCCTCATTCTCTCCCTTGACAGCAAGGAAGGGCCCAAGGGTCAATCCAGCCTATCCATGTCTGCACCAAGACAGATTAGATTCCTGTAGGACATGAAGCCACCAAATGATTAAGGCAGTAAAGGGAAGGCCTCTCTGAGCCCCAGGGCTGAGCTAGAGGCCACAACAGTCGTAGCAGTCGCTGTATAAGACCTAGGTTAGGCTGCTCAGGTAGCTGAGAAGGTGGACTCTGGTATCTAGTAGACCCAATTGAAGCCAAAGATGCTGATACAGCACCCAGAAGCCCTACAGTGGCCGGCTTACCTTCAGGAAGTAAATCAGCCACAGAGAGTTGTGAGCTGGGGCTCTGTTCTCCCAAGAGACTGGGGGCCCCTTAGCTTCTATGATAGCACAGTGACTAGGAGAGCAATGGTTGCTCTTGGAGGGCCATTTGGAAGCTGGACTAGACAGGCATCTGCTTGCCCGGAACAAGATGGAGGTGTTGCTGATCTGACATGACTTCTGCATTGTGTCCATTGGTGTTAGTTCTGCCTTGGTTGCAATGATAGAAGCTTCTGGAGTCCAGGGTGTACAGACCCACTTGTTTTTATTTAACATATCTATTTCTTTTTAAATGGCTCCTTTTAGTTTCTTGATGTTTATTTTGCTACTCATTTAAAAAATATATTTGGTTAGATTTCTGGCTCATTTATTTCTCCCTTTCTACTTTGGGTTACAAACCTTATCATGTCTTTCTCCATGGACTATTTGAAATTTTGATGTGTTGTTTTGAGTGATTTCTCCTTTGACACATAATTATATCTACAGCTTAAAGCTTTCAATTGTGTGTGTGTTTAACATTCTGTTTTCATTGATTTCCACATTAATTGCACTGTGATCAGAAAACCTGACTTACACAGTACTGTTTAAGTTTTTTTTGAGGAGAGGAAATTTATCTTAACATGATTTGAGGGAGCCCTATAGAATAGAGCCTAGCAATTGTCTTACTGTTGAAATTCTAAATTTTGCAAGTATTGTCTTCAGCTTCTCGGTGTAATAGAGGATTTGACCAAATACCCCTTCTTAGGTATCATTTCTCTTCTTTATAAATGCATTCTTGTTTAGAATGTTGTTTCTTGGAGAATGAAGCCCTTTCATTAGGAGCTTGTTCTCTTTAACCCTGAGGGCAGTTTCCAGTGCTGAAGACGCCTGAGTCTTTTCCTCTGCCCACTATCCCTGCCCTAGCTATATATTTGTGACCCTTTCTTGTTTTACGCTTGCATGTTTTTATTAGGTACACCTCTTCTAAATGTATACAGCTTGGCAAAAGGAGTTTTATCTGGCATCCTGAGGGCAGTAGTCACTGTTACCATTCTGATTGCCCCCCTGTGTGTGCGTCATTCAATATCACTGTTTAGATCCCTCTTTGTGTGTGTGTTTGTCTGTGTGTGTGATTCAATGCCACCATTCAAATCCCCCCTCTGTGTGTGTAGTGTGTGTCATTCAGTGTCACCATTCCAGAACTCTCTTTCTTTGTGTGTATGTGTGATTCAATGCCACCATTCAGATACCCCTATGTGTGTGTAGTGTGTGTCATTCAGTGTCACAATTCCAGACCTCTGTGTGTGTGTTTGTGCATGCGCGCACAACTGGAAGGGAGTGTAATGAGAATCTGCTACATCTTCATACTCTATGATACATTCCCATAAAGGAGACTACTCTCCCAGGCTGCTTTTGGCCAATGGCTGGGTCCAATGATCTGAAGGCAGGCTCCAGCTGGGAACTTCTAGATTCCCTATGCGCTGGCTTAAACTTTCTTACAAGCCAGCACACCATCTCTTCTCCCCTAGTCCTTCTTCCTTCTCTCCTTCCTTTTCAAAGAACTTTCCAAATTGTTTATACCATCTGCCAGCTCAGCATGTCTTCCGCTCCTTTGTGCTTCTTAGCTCTTTCACCAGCGTTGGTGGTGTGTCCGGGTTTGCACCTCTGAAGATAGCTTCACTTTGTGCTCACTCCTCAGTACTAGAGCAGATGGACACCCCATTGTAAACATGTACATTGTGTTTCAAGGCATCAAGGGATGTCCATGAGTACTGGAATGTCCACGAGTACTATGTGGCTATTTGACACTCAGTGTTTCCTAAGAATTCCCTTGTTTTGAGCTTAGTGACTCTTCAAATGTATTTCTCTGACCTTGATCGTTGCCTATGTGGGTGCCTGGAGCTCCGATCAGGTGCCTAATTTCTATGCTTCTTTCTATAAACAAACATATTTGCTGTGGGAACATCACTGTCGTGGTTTGAGTTAGACTGCCTCCCATAGGCTCATATATTTAAATGCCTAGTCACCAATGAGTGGAACTATTTGAAACAATTAGAAGGATTAGGATGTGGGACTTCGTTGGAGGAAGTGTGTTACAGGGGACGGGCCTTAAGGTTTCAAAAGCCCATGTCAAGTCCAGGTCTCAGCTACTGCTCCAGCACCTGCCTGCAAGCTGCTGTACTCCCTGCCACGGTAAGTATGCACTAAACCTCTGATACTATAAGAAAGTGGAATTAAATGCTTTCCTTCTGCCCTTCTTTGAGAAAAAGGGGGAGGAGGAGCATGAGGGTGGGACTGGGAGGAGAGGTGGAAGGAGGCTAGGATCAGCTGTAAAGAGATTAAATAAATAAAGAAATGACAAATGAGGGGGAAGGGAAGAGTTGCCTTGGTCATGGTGTCCCTTCACTGACTAAGACCCATGATTCTGAGGGCTGTCCAGCTCCAGCCTTACCCACTTCCTGTTTACTTTGGTAACAGATCCCCCAACCCTGAGAAAGGCTCCCAAGAGTCCTCTGTTCATCTCCGTGCATCTTGGATCCCTGTTGGCCTCAGAGCAATTGTGTCAATGAATGAATGATAGAAGAAGCTGGGGCCTCGGGAGGGTTTTCCTTTCCCTACCCACTTCAAGATGCTCAGCTACCCACGTTCAAACATCAGGGGCCATACAGCAGTGGCGCTGCAACTGCACCAAGCACCCACCGTCTACCCCGACTCTACCACATCTTCCCTGGAACCCACAAGAGTGGAAATTCCTGGTCCTGCAGGACATGACTTTATGGACACCCATTCTCAGCCATCTTTTTACAGGGACCCTCTCTGCCTCACTTCACCCCTCCGTCCAGGGTAGTTACCTAGAGGACATTTGGTGATTGTTGGCCGCCAGGAACCTCGCTGTCATCCTCAATTTGGAAAGGTGTGAAGGCCGGGAGAGTGCTGTGAAACCGCAGCTCAGCTCTGGAGGCTATTCTCGAGGTTAGAGGAAAGAGATTTGAGCGGGAGAGGGCGGCGAGGGGGCAGGCAGGAACCTGCCTTCCTCCCAGAAGGGTTCAAGAACCTAGAGGTTGTAGTGCACTGTGCAACAGCTCAGAGGTGTCAGAAGATGCCGCTTCCAAATACAGCAGGACTGAACCTGAAGCCCTGGCTGTTCTTCAAGCTCCAGAGCCTGCGGGCGAGGAGAGAGAGGTCTGAGGAGCCGAGCTCTGCCTTCTGCTTCGCTACTCCAATCTTCGGTCCCTCTTGCCTCCTCCACCCGGAAGAGCCGGGGAGGTGGAGAGCCTCTAGAGACCCGAAGGTCCCGCCCCCGAGGCGGGGCCTGGTTTCCCGCGGGCTCTGCAGACAAGTTCAACAACGCAGGCTAGCCAGGCGCCTAGCTGGTACCCTCCGGTCTCGCTGATGCTGCGGGAGAGCACAGGTGAGAGGCGCCAGGGGGAGGGATGCTTTTCCTTCCCAAGGCCTTTTCCTGGGGAAGAATTCTCTAGTCCCTCCTTAGCTTTACTGGGCGGGATTTGCCTTCCTTCTGTTGTCAGCTCTACATCTTTCTCCAGGTCACTATCTGGGGCCCATCCTTTGCCTTTCTCATCTTGTCTCTTCCTATGACCCTCTCCTCTCACTTTTTTTTTTCCTTGTAGGTTTCATCTTTATTGATGATTACTCCTTGCACTTCTGTTTTCTTTCCTTTTAAAAACATCTTCTCTTCTTCACACAGTTCTGTTTTTTTCTCCTTGGATGACTGTGTGTGTGTGTGTGTGCGTGCGTGTGCGTGTGTGTGTGTGTGTGTGTGTGTGTCACTTGATTGTGTGTTTCCATACATGCATCTCTATTCTCTATTATTCTCAACCGTGTTTGTGCTGAGTGTTATGGTAAGAACCATGACCCAATCCCAGGTGTGTTCTCCAAAGATCTGGAAATGTAACTCAATGCCTGTTATAGAAAAATACATAAATGATCAAATTGTGTATCTGAGTTTTCAGGGTGAGCTGAAAGAAAATACCTGGTTTTGATAAGATGCTGTGTTCCTTTCTTGACAACAGTTTCTCCCCTAATCGGCACAGACAGCACACCAGGAAAGCTGATCCTTGCAGCGGCTTTTAGGGACAGCTCCAGCCATGCATGTCTTCTGGGCAAGCTGCGCTTGTCAGGTTCTGGGGCATAGAGGGGGTGGTGCTCAAGGCTTTGTAGGAAGACAATGGGATCCCAGGGCTGTGTATGTTTTTTGTCTCCATTAGGCAGAAGGGTAAATGTGAAACTATTTCATGTCACCCTCAAAGATTACCTTAGATGTACTTTAAAAAGGAGAAGAAATCTAGGAAAGCCACCCTGCTTAAATTGTTAGGAAAGCAAGTACAACATATATACAGAAGTAATTTTTATTGCTTTGTTAAAGAGTTAGTCTTGGCAAAGACACAATCTCATGTTTAATGATATTTATGATATGTCTTTATGTTCAAATGCTCACATACTAAGTTGCTTGTTTTCCAGGATGTTAATTACCAATTAAACTTTGCAGCCTTGGCTTCTTAGAAATAATTTAATTTGACCTTGTGGTGTTTTATTGTGCCATTTAATGATAATTCAGCCAGTTTAACTTTTTATTTATGCAGAAAAGGAAGCTTGGCAATGAGTAAGCCACACAAAATTGAGCAGCAGTTGGATCTGGTCAGGGAGGATTGCGGTTGGTGGTTAGTAAAGGGGTTTGCAATGCTACACTAAAGAATTCTGGACAATTAATAAGTGTGTTCTGGGGGTTTGGATTTGGGAAACTGTGGTCTGCATTGGCGAGCTCAATTGTCTTGTAAGTCGTCCAGCAACTGGCTCCAGTGAGTCAGACCTGGTGATAGCAGGTGCTGAAAGGGATGTGTTTCAACTGGTTTAGAAACCCATGTTAGGGAGCAGCCCTGCTAGGCCACAGGGGAGGACTTCACAGCCAGTCCTGAAGAGACCTGGTAAACCAGGGTCAGATGGAAGGGGAGGAGGTCCTCCCCTATCAGTGGACTTGGAAAGGGGCAGGGAGGAGATGAGGGAGGGAGGGTGGGATTGGGAGGGAAAGAGGGAGTGGGATACAGCTAGGACACAGAGTTAATAAAATGTAACTAATAATAAAATAAAGAAAAGAAAAAAAAGAAACCCATGTTAGTTTTGTTTGGCAGATTTCTTTCTCAGAAATCCAAGAGTTGGCAACTTATATTTAAACGCGATAAACTGTTTAAAAAGTATATAAAGGGAATTCTTGAGTTTCAGTGTTTTGGATTTTATTTTTCTTCCTTACGTAGTCCGTGTCTCTATAAAGATGTCATCGGCCTTCTCTTTTTAGATGCTGCTGCTGCTTGAGTATAAAAGCGTTGTGCTGAACAGCCTGGTAGAAAAGCCACGTGCTTTCTCCTGTGAATGCTGCTCTGGAGGGACAACCCTGGCTAGGGCGGGGCATCTGCTTTTCCTCTCTAATAGTACAGGAACAAAAGTGTCCTCTAGTGAGATCTTACATAGACCCCTGTTTGATCCAGTTAGAAGCATCCATATACAGACCAGCATTCCAGCTTTATTTATAAGGGGGTTAACATCCTGAACGTTTGTCCTCCGTGGTGCACCTACTGAGTGGCTAGACTGAGAGTACAACTCAAGCTATGTCTTGGAACCGGAGGCCTTGGGGCTAATTCAACCCCACAGGTTCTAGCTGAAGTAACGCCCCAGATAACACTACTTGTCGGCCAGTGGATGATGTTTATTGGGGTGCCGCTCCTTGCTCTAATGTCCTGGCCATTTTTGGCTATGGCTAATCCTGAATCCACCTAGTAGAGCCCTACGAAACACTGTGTTTGCCATCTGTGCTCATTTGCTTCTTCTCCTAGGGACAGAAGGGTAATGATAAGTCATCCACCTCTATGTGGGTCCACATGGCCAAGCTGTGTTAGTACTGAGCCTAGCCTTACTCTAGTCCTGGAGCTGACTGTGTTCTGGGACCAAACCCTCAGCTTTGCTTGTGTACAAAACTCATTGCTCTAGAAGGCTAGAGCCTTAGTTGGACATGGAAACCTCCAGGAGTGGCTAGAAGAGGAAGCCCTCATCTCTGCTTCTCCATGAAAAAGAAAAAGCCTGCGAAGCTTTTAGGTTTTTAATGTTTCCAGTGCCCCAGAGGTAGGAGATGCCTAGAATATGCACAGTCCCTACAGGAAGACACAGGTACTCACCATCCTTGTACAGAAAACATCAATGTGTGATTATATTCTGGAATCTTTCAAAAGGAGCTAGGAAGGCTCCAGAGACTAGAGACACCAAAAGACTGTAAGCACTGCAGGGGTGGGGATGCTTTGTTCTGTTTCAACTGAGAAGAAAAGGCAAATACAGGAGACAATCTAGCAGTGTCTATGTTGTCACTGAGAAGAACTAGTTTATGAATTGCAGCTGAGATCCATGAAAATTGATATGGTGCGAGAGGACTATCAGAACTCTGAGACATTCAGCTGTTTACCAAGCATCTTATAGTCTGTAAATGGAACAAAAAGGAAAGAAATGCCCTGGCTACCTGCTCATTTATTTAGCACCACGGTGTGGTAGTTCCTGCAAGTTCACAAGTAATGGAAGGGTAGCCATGAGGTGACTCTGTCCCTTTGTGAGAATGACAATAATTTGTCTACAAACTGGGTCCTGAGCCAGGTTCCTTGGCACTTTAGAGATACTGATCTAACCAATATTTATGACAACCACGTGAGGTGGAGTACCCACATGTTCCCTTTTGCAAATGGGAAAACAGAGGTCCTAGTGTGAGCAAAGGCAAAGAATGATGGACTACAGGCCTTCCATCCCTGGAGCCCATATGCTTGACCTTGGTGATGTCAATGTGGGGCTCCACAGGAGCTGGGACAACTGACAAAGGCAGAGACATCAAGGTTATGTGGGAAAACGTGGCCATAGCTTCTCAGGCGTTGGAATTATGAGTCTTCAGTTTGTATCTAAGAATGAGGAATAAGACCGGAAATAAATTCATCTCTCATAATGTAGTACTTGCTGTTTTGGTCAATAGCAGCACCCTGATTGATAGCTCAGGAGGGACAGGAGCTACAGGAAGAAGTATCTCCTATGGCAGGAAAGATGGCCATGGGAAGATATCACCCTGTTGATTTGGGGGTCCTGGTGTCAGAAAGCACTCAGGATCATAGGATCATCATATGATCTGAGGTCTTGAAGAATGGTGAGAGGGTCTTGGGATTTCATCCTCTTTTTTGAGATAGAAAGATATGGAGTGGTTCTGAACTACGTTTGTACAATTCAGAGGGCTGTCTGTGAACATCATAGTAAAAAGAACCAAGGATGATCATAAAAGCCTCTTAGTGGAACACATACAATGATGGAGTGATAAAGACCCATAAAAAGTGTCAGGACGGAGAGCCCAGGATGAACTGAGGCTATTGAGGATAGCCAAGGACAACAAAGAGTCTTTTCATATGAGGTTCAGAGCAAGGAACAAGGAGTGCATAGATTCATCACTCTCTAGGGCAGCTGGCATCTGTGGGAGGAGAAAGGGGAAGGGGCAGTTCCACTCTGTCCAGAAAACAGCTGGGCAGAGAGTGATTCCACAGTCCACAGGGTGGTGGAAGTGCAGGAGAGAAGGGAGAAGTGCAGAGCACTGTGTGAGGGGTCCGGCTTCTGTGTCTGGGATGAGGAATGTCTTGGAGACGAGCTCCCACATCCGTGGTGGCCCTCTGAGAGGCATGGGGATCAAGGAGATGCAGATGCTGCTGGAGATGGATGAGACTTAGAAGTCTGACTTTGACCTTGGGAAAGATGCTAGTATCCAAGGAAGGAGAGGTGAGCACACAGAGGCAGCGAGGTTTCTGCAGAAGTAAGGCATAACAGTCTCACACTGTGTTCCATTTTGAGGGGCTTCCATCTGGCAGTTTTCATGGAGGAAGTGGGGGTAGGGCCTCAGGTAGACGTGACAGGAAATCCTGAGCTCTTACCTGCATGATTAACCTCATGAAATGCTGATGAGTAGCCAGAGGTTCTCATCAGAGAAGCAGGCAAAGAATCCACACAAATGCCATTTGCACACGATATGTGTATACAGCCAAAGGCACATGCTAATACCCGTGTACTCTCACATAAACACGTACACATAACTCACACATATATACATGCTCTTCTTCATATCTTCCTCTCTCTAGTTATTACTTTGCTGTTGTCTGCTCCATTTCTCCTTCCTCTTTTTCCTTATCATCATTTATTCATTCCCCCCTTTCTTATCTTCCCTTCCCCTTTTAAGGATTGAGGTCATGGCATTGATGGGGCATGAGGTTGGATAGGGTGTCTAACTCAATAATCTTCACTCACCGGATTTACAATGGTGTCAAAGCTGTGATGCCCTACAGAGTTTAGCAAAATGGCATGGGGATAGGTTTGCAAAAAAATGTAGCTGGGTGGAGAGACACAAGACACCTCATAGTTTTTGTGAAAATTAAGTGAAATCAAATGCACGGAATAGTTGGCCTATACACATGCCGACAATAGATTATCATGACTTTTGTTTTTACATCATGAAACATCCTGGTGACCGGCTTTCTGTCCTGCACGTCCTTGAGAAGAGAATGGTCAAATCTGCTTGAGTGCCATGGAAAGTTCTGGTTCTGGATTAGCTGTCTCTGGTTGGAAAATGCTCCCTGGACCATGAAGGCAGCACCATAGGGTCTCTGCGGGGACAGAAGTAAGTTCAGTGAACTCAGGAGTTTTTGAGGCAGGTTCTTAAACAGTCTTGGGTATAACGTTGTCTGGGACCAGCTGACTTTGGAGAAGTGTCTGAGATGAAAGGGAAAGGCAGAGGACGAGTATGTTTTAGTGTATCATGGGAATGTTTGTATATTTGTGTATGAATATATGTTTGCAGGTGTACATGTGTGTATAGTGTATAGTGTGTACATGTGTGTATACTGTATGAGTGTGTTTGTGTGAAAGTATATGTCTATGTATATGTTTAGTATGTGTGTGTGTATATGTGTGTCTGTGTTTGTGTATGTGTCTGTGTTTTTCTCTGTCAGTGTTTCTCTCTCTCTCTCTCTCTCTCTCTCTCTCTGTGTGTGTGTGTGTTTGAGAATGTGCCCATTTGAATGTATACACATGTCTGTGTGAGTTCATGTCTGTGTTAGTGCTGGGGATTCAAACAGACTGGCTATTTGATAAAGAGAGGAGTAATTTATCTCAAGTAGTTACAGCTGGGAGATCAGAGACTGGACTGCGGAGATGTTTTAAGCCCATTTTACAGGTATAGACTGCTGCCCTAGGTCGGCTTCTTCCCTTGGAGAAGCTTAGCTGGGGCAGCTGGGTGCAATGCAGATTCTTGGTCAGCAGAAAGTGTGGGAGAAACAACCTACTTTCTTCAGGGACAGCTTCGGTGAGACCGCTCTGTAAAGAAATTTTAATTCAGAATATAGCTACTCTGGCAACAGGTCACATCCAAAGACCTAGTCAATGTGATCAGGCTGGAATACAAACACAGCTTTAATCCAGGAGACAGAAGCAATCAGATCTGAGTGCAAGGCCAGCCTGGTATTGAGTAAATTTTAAATAAAGAAAAGCTTAATTCCAGATATAGTAGTATACATGCCGTTAATCCCAAACAATGAAGGTAAAATTAGTTTGTAAAAGGAAGCGCCCATGTTTGAAAATGATGTCTAATCCAGTGGTAGAAACAGTGACAAATCAGAGAAAGACTTAACATAATAGGATATGCCAACTTTCAAAAGGAATGAGAGGAAAGGAAAGCTGTTTAAGGGGCAATTCAGAGAGGAAAAAGGACAGTTTTTACCAGGACAGTAATAGAGAGATGGGCTGCAGAGAGAGAACTCAGGTGAAGACAGCATGAGCCAGAGAATGAGAAGGAGCCAAGAGATTAGAAAAGATTGCTGTAGTTAGTCTGAGGCCAAGCAGAGCAATTCAGAGGTCAAGAGAGAAGCCAGGTTGAATAAGTCAACTGGGAGAGGAGTTTGAGCTTGAACAGCTGAGTTGAATCAGCCAACCCAGAGCTCAGAAAGAACAAGAAAGGATGAGCTTATTAAGCAGTAACTCTTAGAGGCTGAAAATATTGTAGGCCGAGGTTACATTGTAAGGAGGCTAGAAGCTTCCAGGACCAGGTCTAGGTTAGCAGAAAGAGGCCGTAAGCCTCCTAGACAACAACTGAACCAGGAGAATAAAAGTTCATTTTACACAGCTCATTTAATTGGGGGAGGGGGACAAAGGCTATTTAAGCCTTTGGGGAGTGGGTAGAGACTTTAGGGGTGAGTTTACAACATTGACTGGGGCCAAGGTACTGGAAATGCCTTATTTGCATGAAGAGGAAGTCCAGGTGCTTGCTTCACATGACTTTATAGGAGAAAGGAAGTTTAACCTATAACCTGGCCAGGCTATGTGACCACCTCAAGGGTGGCAGGCATGAAGGCCCAGGGAGTGTGTATGGGGGGGGGGAGGGTTGTATTCTTACTGGTCTCAAGATGAGATTTGCAGGGTTTGGATGTGACCTGAACTCACTCTTGCTTCAGGCTGGCTCCCCATGCGTGCCTGACCCTACATACCCCTGGATTGCCTTGCTCAGGTTTCCATGTGGCCGCTGTTGCCTCTGTACACTCAACATCCTGGCAAACATGACAGGTGATGCTGCCGCAGCCCCATGGCCTCTGCAAGTTAGAAAGGGCGCTGAGGTGATCCACTTCACCACGGCAGCACACAGAGCGAGGAGGGACTCGGCGACATCACACTAGAGCAACTGTGCAAAAGCTTTTGTCAAAGGAGAGGGTGTTGAGGCTTCCTTTTCCTGCACTTCGGGCAACTTCTGTATTTTAACTCTCTCAGAAAGCTGATGCTGGTTTAATCCCTTTGGGTACTTCTGAAAGAAAGGGGCAGGTCGGGTGCTATGTGCTCGCTGCACAGGGAGGTAGAAGGAAGCAAGATAAGGCAGTTGCCCAACAAACCCCCAAGGACAGTGAATAAGGAGCCTTGTCACTCCTAGGTCAGTCTGGCTCAGGGACAAGTAGACAGTTGACATGGGTAGAGGAGAAATGAGTGGGTTTAGTTGTGGGATGAGTCAAGAGTGTGGTGCAAGGGCCAGACGCAGCCCACCTCCACCCTGCCGAGTGCTCCTCCAGCCCTCTGGCCTCTTGTGCCTATAGAAGCTCCTGTCTGTCAGTACCTGAAGTCTCCTGGCACACCTGACAACAAAAATTAAAGTCAACATGCCAACCAGCAGCGAAAACTGTCCTTATCCAGGGTGCAAGCACATTAGAATTGTCAGGGAAGTCAAGCTGGCAGGTGACAATGTTTATGCTCCGCTAATGCGGTGGTGGCTGCCCTGATGACAGACACTGGGATGGTGCTGAGCCTGGTGCCACTGCGTGGTTGCTCTGTGTGTGTTTGCTCACACGTGTGCACATGTGAATGTGTGCCGTGTTGACATGCTCCCTCGCAGAGTCCTGGAGGCACAGCCCTCGGAGTTGGATGGGATTGTCACTTCTAGAATAGTCACAGCGTTTTGGGTATAAGTAGCAAACACCAGCTTTGGCTAACTCAGCAGAGAAGGGGTTTATTAGGTTATGTGACAGAGTAGGTCCCACCATCAGAGGGATGGCTGGAGACCTGAACTAGAGAAAGACAGGGGCCATGTAGCAGCAGAGAACCCCAGTAGCAGGAGTATGTTGGTACTCTATCAGACATCTGCTTTATTGTCCTACGAAGCAATAATCTTGCCAGGTTTGGCTGGCTTTGGAACCTTTTGGTCCTGGCAGCATCTCCTGAGGGATTGCTGTGTGTCTTACCTGGTTGCCCTCTGAGGGCTACACTGGCATAGGCTCTTTTTCCTGGGCCTGAGAGATCAGTAGGGTAGAAGGAGTGACGTACATCCTGCCCAGGGAAGGCTGGGCCCAGAGCCAAGCTTGACAATATGATGACTAAGGTAGAGAAGGGCAGGGTGCTGACAGAAGCCATTCCTTTGCTTGAGGGACAGGCTCCTAAGGGATCCTCGGGTCTGCATGCTAGGGGAGATCCGCAGCTCTCAAAGGAACTGGTGTTGAGTTATAATCCACTGGGAGCAAAAGCTGCTTCAAGTACGTGTTTGGTGGTTAACTTTCACAGTGTGGGAAGCATGCCCACAGGACCCTGCACTGAGCTCCCTCGGGGGTCTAGGGCTAAGGTCCTGTGCTGCTGCACTATGGCCGCCCATGTACATATGCCCCTTCCACTTGTGCTGTTCCCTTCTAGAGCTTCCCTTTTGTGACTCAGAGGACGGCCAGATCCAGGTGAGGTGAAGGTGAGGTCCCCCTGGAACAGTCCTGAAGCTGCCCCCAAACAAAAAGCCACCCTTCTTCCTCCTGTCCGTAGCTTGGATAGCAAACCCTTGACACCCAAAGGACTGTGCAGGAAGCACTCCCTATCAGGGACCAGAGCAGGGGAAAACATGCATAAAACTAAGAATTAGCCACTGTGTGATCTCAGCCAGAGCAAGGTCCACAGAGAAAGGCAACCCGGAAGGGAGTAGGGGAAAGCAGGGACAAGGAATCTCAGAAGATTGGTCCGGAGGAATTAAAAAAAAAAAGTGAAAGCAGGAAGGAGAAAGGGGCTACTAGTTCAGGAGATAGGGAATGGGAGGAGTGACTTAAGGAGCCAAGATAATGAATGCACGAACCTTCCACACTACCACCTCCTGATGTTGGGGCTTCCCCAGTCTCCAGACACTGAGCCAGGGCCAGACGGAGATCCTGGAGCTGGAGCATGGCTTCCTCCCAGGGCGTCAGCTTGTTGGTAGGTGTTTAGGATCTCCTGTGTTCTGCCTCAGGACAGGCTGTCTTCCCTATCACTCCAGCTCCGTGGTTCTGAGCCAGGCCTCAGGTTAATCACAGTAGCTGTTTCTGTGGCTTCCTTGCTTTTCCTTGCATGGGGCCATGCATACTCCTCTGGTGCCACCGCTCCAGGGCTCTTTCTGGCAGATGCCTGTCTCCACCTGGCTGTTGGAGTCTAAACCACCTGGGCTCATCTTCTCTCTCTTTCTCTCCAGATGACACTGCTTCCACTTCATAAACATAAAAGGGAGTCTAGAAAAGGTGGGCCTGTCTGGCGTCAGCCTATGAGGGACTCTGAATGAGCTTTGCCTGCCTCACTGTCTGATGTCTCTTTCTGCAGACACCAGTGGTCAAGAGCATCCACTCTGGACTTCTGCAGGGACCTTCCTGTCTCATAGCTTCTCCTGGGGGTAGGGACCAGCCCTTTGGAACCCCAAAGCCATATAGACCAATGGCTGCTGGAGCATCTACCTTGCTTAGCCTATCAGGTCCTGCTGATCACATGGCTGAGAGCAAAGGAGCTTCTCTGAGCCCTTCAGTTGGAAAGAGATGGAGGCTCATGGAACCCAAGCAGATCCAGACAGGGCTGCTCAAGAAAACAAATCCCCTGGACTCTGAAGCTGCTGAACGTAAGACTGGCCAAAATGCAGCCTACAGCCAACTGAGCTTGCCAACAGCACTGAACAAGCCTCGACCAGAGAGGCCTGCAGCCTGCAAGGCATGCACAGAGCAGAGGCAGAACACCTTCACAGAGCTGTCATGCCTCCAGCAGAGGCCAGGAGACATTCAGGCTCAAAAGAGGAAGCCAGAGGACCCAGAAGACCAGCTCAGCACTCAGCAGCCACCCTTGGGTCTCCCCAGGGCCCCAGCTGATGGCACAGTGTGCTCAGGATGGCCAGGTGCAGTCAGGAGTGAGCAGAAAAGTGCTTTCAGCAAGCCAGCCAAGCGCCCAGCAGAGAAACCTAGGCGCTCCTCGGTGCTTCTGGCTGGTGGAAGTGCAGAGGGCCCCTGGGAACTCTCAGGACTCATCACCGCTGTGGACATCCCATGCTGGGCTCAGCTGTCGACTTTCAAGCTCATGGGTGACTTCTGGAAATTACACACGTTGTCACAGAACCTTCTACTCTGCAGTGCTTTCCAGGGGGCTCCCGCGCCATGGCTGGAGCACACCCAGGTACTCACATCCTCAGCACCTCCTGCCTCAGCCTCTCGGGCTCTTCTGCCACCCACACTCTCCTCTCTGGGCTTGTCTACTCAGAACTGGTGTGCAAAGTGCAACCTAGCCTTTCGTCTGACGGCTGACCTAGTCTTCCATATGCGGTCCCATCACAAAAGGGAGCATGTGGGCCTCGATCCACATTCCAAGAAACGAAGAGAGGAAGTTCTCACTTGCCCTGTGTGCCACGAGTACTTCCGGGAGCGCCATCATCTTTCCAGGCATATGACTTCACATAGTTAGCAGGTGGCTATGGAGGAAACTGAAGGCCATAGTATCCTGTGTGCGGTGGTGAGGTGCAGGTGACTTCTGTCCTGTGCTGAGAAGGCTGGCAAACATGTCTTCAAGGCTGCTTCCTTTGCTTCCAAGAGATGAACAACTCAGTTATCATCTGTCAGATGTCCCAGCCCCTGTGACGTGATCTCCTGGAAAGTCATGTGTTAGAATGATTAGCTTCACTGGAGCTCGTGTGGCACCGATGGCCCATGGCCCAGGGAGTGGCGCTGCTCCTTCTCTGTCCCTAGTGCTCCGCATGGAGGCACATGTGCGCTACTTCCTTGGCTTTCCTGGCAAGCAAGCCTGCTTTTAATTTTGGCTCTTTCACCTATGTGCCATGGCCTTGGACATGTTCCTTTAACTTGATGACCCTCAGTTTTCTTGTTTTTTAAGTGGTGTGTTATTGGGATGTCGTCAGAGTCCCGAGGAAGGTGGCCCACTTCCCTGGCAGAACGTAAACACTAAACATATGGAGTTCACAGTCACTGCTTGCCCTAACCAGCTACGTTATTCGGGAAATCTCAGGGGTGAAGAAGCACAAGGCGGCAGCAAGGCTGGAGATGAGCTTGGCTTGGTAAACATGGTGTAGGCTGCCTTCAAGTCTATGCCCTTTTCCTGCTGGGTCATTATGCTGAGCATAGTGAAGCTGGGAGCACAAAGTGGTAGGCAAAATGCCCAGATAGGTTTCCAGCCTCTGCCTGGGTCACAAACCTAACCTTCCCTGGGCTAATGTAAATCCAGGCCTAAAGTGACTAAGTGGAAAAGTGCCCTGGCTGAAACCATAACTAAGGAATGGGGTCTCGTAATTCAAGCCCTCAGTTCTCTGGGTCTTTGCACTGTGAATATGTGAGAGTGGAGAAACAGAGCGTGCATCATTTATTCTGGATGGTCTCTGGGTGACATCCTTCCTTGTGGTCCTGAGTAACACAGGAAAGAGCAACTGGAAGGTATCAGAATGAGGTCCCCAGGAGGACTTTACATCCGACCATCCCAACCCACAACACTGTGGGATATAGACAGTGAATTCTCATCCTACTGCAGAAGAATTTAAACCTGAAAGGGCTAATGGCTTTCCCAAGGCCACTACTCAGGAGAATTGGTGGAAGAACAAAATCACTCGACCTCCGGATCTGAGCTCATGTCTTGTCTCGTCTGCTCCATATCTGCTTAGCTAGCATGGTCACGGAGTCACTTAGCTACTCAAGAACTGGAGCTTAGAGGCTTCTCTCCTTAAGTTCAGTTTCAACTTAACCTTGCTTTTTGTACACAAGCGCATAAATGCACGTGTGCACGTGTACACACACACGGACTCGTACAGCACACCGCTCTTCTCTACATCCTGTATACTAAACAACATAAAGATTTATCTTGTTCACTGTTGCTTTCATCATTAGAATGAAAGTAAGTTTTACTGTTTCATTTCCTGCTGTGTTTCTATCATCTAGAACAATGCAGACATATAGTAGGTACTCAAAAGGTATCTGTTGAAAGAAAGAATAAATGAACACGTTAATAAATGAATGATCTGTCTGACTCTGGCTTTGTTCCTGCCAACTCATGAGTTGGCTTTGGGGAACAGGAGGTAGCAACTGTGAAAAGCATGTGTCCACTTATCATGAGAGCATGGATTGACCCCTGATTTCTATGCCATCTCTTTGAAAGGGAAATGGACCTGTGAAGATACAGAAGACATCTTAGAGCTTATGTTGACACAACTTGTTTTGCAGCCAGATTTACAAGTTCAAAGATGTTTAAGAGCTCGTGACTTAGAATTTGTTAGTGCCACAGTCCCTCAGAATAAGCATGCTGGGCTCCCAGGCTTCCTTGGAAAGTTAAAGCCTTTCTCATGTCTTCCTCCTTCATGTCACTTGTTCCTCTTGAGGAGAAGCTACTTTAATCCATCACTTCCCAAGTTACCTCTTTCATAAAAAAAAAAAAAAGTCTGGAGATTTTCATTCTTCAAAATTCATGTGAAATTCTAAGGTGGGCTTTTGGCAGATTGGGATTAATGTCTTTATGGGCTCCAGAGTGCCAGCTCCCCATTTCTGAGGACACAGATAAAAGGGGCAAGTTCTGAACTAGAAAATGGCCCTCACAAAAGACATTACATCTACTGACACCTGTGCCCTTTACTCTCCGGAACCGTGAGCAATAAATTCCTGTTGTTTCTAAGCTGCCCAGGCTATGGTGTTTTGTTATAGTAGCCTGAACAGAGCAAGCGGCCACCTTCTACACAGGGATCAATTACCAATTCTAGGGGTATAGAAATGGCTGCAGGGGTTAATAATGCTTGGTTATCTTCCAGAGGACCCAAATTGGGTTATCAGCTCTCACGTCAGCCATCACAACTGCCTGCAACTCCAGCTCTGTGGAATCCAATGCTCTTTTGTGGCCTCAGGGAGTACCTGCACACATGTGGCACAACCATTCCCACACACATAAAAATAATTATTATCTGAAAATTAAAGCACCGAAGAAGTCCTCAGGGGCCGAGAGTGTGGCTCAGTAGTACAGTGCTTGCCCAGCATGCATGAGACCCAAGGTTCAATCTCCGGCATTGCGCAAAAGAAATGATAATTTGAAAATGAGACTGAAATAAAACTTTTTGAATTCAGATCAGCTTATTAAACAAGGTCTTTCCTACTGACCCCTACCCTGAATGCTTCTAGTGCTTAATTTAGACCAGCATTGAGGTTTTCTTTTTCCTATGGTTTTGGAAACAATGAAAAGTATTACAACGCCAGGTCCTGGTTTTGAGCTTTTTACAGGTTCCTGGATCATTAGATCGGGGATCCTAAACACAAATGACTGTATGAGTAGGAAAACAAATGTAGGCGAAGGTGCCAGAGAACAGACATGGTGGTGGCAGGTCTTGTCATGAGCTTGGGTGGGTCTCCTGGGGAAAGCTTTCTCAGAGCTGGGCTGGAATACAGACTATAAGAGAGAGCAGAAGGCCAGGAATTAGCTGTCATCAACTAACTCACTTGCCATGTAAACACAGATTGGTGCCCTCCTGTGCTGACTTGGAGGAGGGTTTCCAGGACCAGGATTTGGTGTGCCTGTCCTCCTTTTGCTGTACTCTGGCAATGTGAGTAACATGGACAACATGTCAGTGTGGAGGAACCTTCAGCTGGTGCCTCCAGCTCTGGGCCAGGAGCCAGGCCTGACTCTTGTAACCTCTGTCGTGGCCTCTATCCTCATGAGTTCTGAAAGAGACTTGCTACTCAGAACGAAAGTGTGAAAAGTCCAACTCCAGTGCTTGGCTCTTTCATCCCTTTGGGAAGGGATGGCGTCCCCTAGAGCCATGTGTAAGCCATCTCTCCAGACAGATATTTCAAAATCCTCATAATTTCCACAATTTTTTTAACAAGTCATGGATGGGGTAGGTGTGAAGGTCATATAGTATATGAGATATGAATCTAATAGGACAACCCCTCACCATTTAAGGAAGTTATTCCATACTGTGATATGACTTAAGCTACCTTCTAGGAGAGAATGTTTACAAATCAGCTTTGTATGAAGGATGGGAAGAAAAAGAAGGAGGTTTTAAATTTAGACTTACCTCTTTGATCCATCTGTGTTTCCAAGGGCTGGAGGCAGGGACCGCTGGTGCCTGGTCCCCTTGCTATTCTATGCTCTCAGATTAAAAGGCTATTTTCAGCAGCAGCTGAAGAGTAGGTCAGCAAAGCAGAGCTAAGGTCCCTAGGCCAGCTGGCAGCACCTAAATCCCATAGAAACCTTGGGTGGTAAATAAGTGCCCTCCTGTGGGAACTTGAAGGAGGGCACTTGGCTCAGGACTGGGATTTAGTATGCCTAGCTCCCTTTTGGTGCATTCTGGTAATGTGGGAGACACTGCGCATAGAAGGGAGAGTGAGAGATGAGATGGGTCAGGGGCCTCTCTGCTGTTTGGGCCAAGCCTCAAGACAGGGGTCCTGGGTTCTGTGGGGACCTCCATATTCTCTCTTCACCTTCCTTGTTTAATGGGGATGTGATCCTCGATGCCTCCTGCTGTGATAGGAAGTTAGTCCGTACTCCAAAAAGACTTTGGAGGTCAAGGTCCCCTTTCTTTTCCTTTGTTGGTCAGTAGCGCTTGGGCACAGAACCCCAGCATACACAGTGCCAGCATCTATCTTGTCCACTCTGGCCCTGTTGGTCAGTCCCTGATCAGGGCTCCCTAACCCTGCTGTCCATGTCTAGTCCCTGGGGCCTTCTCCAAAGCTCCTTGTTCTGCCTTCATTCCTTGCGCTGTGTCTGGCCTGGCATCTGCTCCAGGGGAAGAGGCAAACATGCAGAAGGCATGGGCTTAGCACATTCTGTGTTTTTTTTTTTTTTTGTTTTTTGTTTTTTGTTTTTTCTGTACCCAAAGGCCTACAATTTGGCTGTCCAAAGTGGAGTCTGGGCTTTGATAGAGAATAACAGAAGCCCCTTAGGCATGTCTTGCCACAGAGCCAGTTTAGAGTCCTTCTGGGGCTCTTATAATTCACTAACCATGCAGGTGGGAACAGCTAGACCATTAGGACCAGCTGAACCCTCAGGGCCACTCCAGCACCCTGGACAAAAGGTCAAGTGAGTTGCCCCAACTCTTTCTGCTTAGCCTTACACCACTTCTCCATCTGATTTGCAGTAGGGGACCAATAAGTCTGACCTGTGAATGTCATCCAAGAACAATGCCTTTCAGTGAAGATCCTCCCCCTTGCAGCCTATGGATGAAACAGAAGGCTGCGATGTGTTCAGACAGCAAGCTGAGGGCCGCTAGACAAGGCAGAGAATGGCAGATGATGCCAATAGTGGAGTAATATTAGATATTAACTCATCAGATTCTGATGTCTGCGTGACAGAGGGACCTGGTGCCTGGGTGTCTGCAAGGAATTTATGAGTGGGTTCAAGATGCTAAGTTGGGGGCAGTAGCTGCCCGAACTCAGGTGGCACCATAGAGTATGGTGGTAAGAAACTGAGACATGGACGCAGGCAGCATTTTTTGGAACGTGTGTGCATGCGTGTATGTGTGTTCATGTGTGTGCATGTGTTTGTTTGTGTGCATGTGCATGCATATGTTTGTACAGCTCCCTTTTGTCTTTTACTCTAATCCTGTGTCTAAACAGGTCCTATGAGACCTCCTTACACCCAGGAGGTCCAGCCTGTTTTGGTCCCTCTCCCAGGCCCAAGCCCAGGGGATATTATTCACCATGCAGTGGAAACACTGAGATCATCAGGCAGACAGATTCCGGTTCAGGCCCCACCTCCCCCTTCACTGGGGGCTCCAGGCTGAGCTATACTCTGAAAGAAAAAGAAAAAAAAAGTCTGGCTGATGGAAGCAGAAAGGGGGTTTTGGGAGGAGCCTTGACTGTGCCCAGTCTCAGAAGAGTAGCCTGAGGGGTCTGGATATGTGGGAGAAAACTTAAGGAGCTTAGTCAGGACTGTGTGGAAGTCATTCCTGGCAGCTGCCTCCTGAGGACGCTGCTGCTGTCAGTCTGACAATGCCCACTCAGCATCTGGCAGGATGCTGATGTCAAGACTCTCTGGTCACTTGTTCCAGATTTAGTCTTTACCCAGGGTTCCCCTAACCAACCAACATAGAGCCTTTCCCCACTACCAGGAAGACGAGCTTCCAAGACATCAATTTTGAAGTAGAAAAATGGTGACAACTGACGCTGTCTAGACATATGAGTAGCTGTAATTTTTCACAGATGTAGTATTTATCTCCCCCACTAAACACACGAGGGAAGTGAGGCCCAGAGAGTGAAGTAACTGCCTGGAGTCACACAGATGAGAGGTGGCAAGCTGACTCTAGAGCATAGGGTCATTGCTTCTTAGCGGCTCTGTCCTATAGGCAGCGCAGTTGAGGGTGGCTTTCCAGGAGTACAAATGCTGGGTGGCCTACCAAAGAGCAGGCTGGTGTGTGGTCCCAGGCAGCTTTCTGAGCTTCCTGCCTCTTCAATGGCCTCCCAGGTGGAGGGTGGTGATAGTGGCTTGTGTGAGAAAACGGAAACTTGAATATCCTCCCTGCGGAATACCCATGGGATCTCTGCCATCTGCTGTCCCCAAAGTTCTTGCGCCCAGGACTTAGAGACACTTCTCTATCCACAATGCCAGTAGTGTCAGACAGGGAGAGAAAGGAATGTAGAGTACAACCACTGATGCTATTTTGTATTTTAGAATAATGACTGCTCCATTTGAAAGTAATGGTATATACTTATGGAAAAAAGAAAGCTAGAAATACCACTGAAAATTGTGACTAAGAATTTAATTTAAGTTAAATTATCACATATATAATATATATACATGTATATATGAGAAAGAAGCTGGAGAGAAGAAGAGGGAGATGAGAAGGGAAGGAAGGAGGGGAGGGGATTTCTAGAATTTACATGCCTAAACACTTAGATCACTCACATTTATTTACCTTATAAAGAGAAAATAGAGACCATATAACACAGGTTACTCCTAAATTCCCCACCTATGATCTCACTCAAATGTAGCAAGACAACCCCTGCAGTAGCATC